AAAAAAAAAAAAAGAAATAAAGAGAACTTTCTTCAGCTGATTAAGAGTATTCTTTTTATAAAAATCCTATATTGCACATCTTTCTTAATAGTGAAAATCCTCAAAAAAAAAAAAAAAAGTGAAAGTCCTCTAAGAGCAGGAAGGAAGAAAAAAGGAACCTACTAGCACCACTTCTGTCCAACAACGTATTAGAGATCCCAGCCATGAAACAAAAGAGGGAACAAAAAAGACGTAAAATTAAAAGATATAAGGTTTGGGAAGGATTGAAAACAAAGAAAATTGTCAGTATTCACAGACAACATGACTAATTATCAAGAAAATCCAAAATAAAAGTTAGAAGATGAAAATTTTTAAAAAGTATACCATTTATAATACCATCAAAACACACCAAATATCTAGGAATAAATCTATTGAAAGATGTTGTAAGACTCTATCTGAAGACAATTTTTTAACTTTTATTTTAAATTTATGGATATATCATGTTCACAGAATGGAGGTCTCAAAATTATAAACAATTCTTCACAAACTGACTCATATATACAATGAAATTCCCACGGAAATCCTGTAGGACATTTGTGGAAACTTCCAGGTTGATTCTAACATATTTATGGAAAGCAATGGGCCAAGAAACTCTCAAAGAACAAAGTGGAGAAAGGATCACAGTCTTGAATGTATATTGTGGTACATTCATAAAACTGAATACTAGATTTCAGTAACACAAGGAAACAAAACCCCACAGCTACACCCAACAACGGGAAGGGGTCTCCCCTAGCCAGCATCATGTTGAACAAGAGAAGCCACGAAGAAAGAAAATGGTACATATTTCCATTTATAGACAGTTCAAAACCATGGAAAATTAATCTATGATGTTAGCAAGCAGGAGAGCAGTTCTCTTTGAGGAGAAAGGAAGAAGAGATTGGGGAGAAGCATGAGGTTGGCTTTCAGGAACTGGGAATGATGTATTCTTTACTGCATGCTCACTTGGGGATACATCATTGCACTATATGCTTACAATCTTTTGCACTTTCCTGTATGTATAAGTTAATTAAAAAGTGAAAAACACGGTAAGAAATACGGTGAACATAAAGGAAACTACATAAATAACATGAAAAAGAATAGCTATAAAAATGACTGTTGGGGGGACGCCTGGGTGCCTCAGTTAGTTAAGTGCCTGCTTTCGGTTCAGGTTATGATCCCACCGTTCCGGGATCAAGTTCTGCATCTGGCTCCTTGCTCAGCCGGAAACCTGCTTCTCCCTCTGTCTGCCTCTCCCCCTGCTTGTTCTCTCTTTCTCTCTCTCTCTGACAAATAAATTAATAAAATATTTAAATAAAGAAAGAAAAATAAAATCTTTTAAAAAATGATTATAGGGGTACCTGTGTGGCTCTGTCTGTTAAGCATCTGCCCTAGGCCCAGGTCATAATCCCAGCGTCCTGGGATGGAGCCCCTCATCAGGCTTGGGCCTCAGAGGGGAGTCTCCTTGAGATGCTCTCTCTCCCTCTCCCTTTGCCCCTCACCCTGCTCATGCATTTGCCAGCACTCGCTCTCTCTCTCTATCTTTCTCTCATTCTCTCTCTAAAACAAATGAATCTTTAAAAAAAAGACATGATTATCGAGAACAGGTTAGGTATGGAATGCCAAGAGTCAATATACTTGGAACTGATGTTCCTGAAAAGTGAACATACCAAATGAAACTGAAAAGATTTTCAAAGGTCTGATAGATGAAAACTTTGCTGAAATAAAGTCTTAACCTATACGTTTGAAGGACACATACTGTCCTAGGAAATTCTGATTCATATGCAGGCAAAGTCATTAGACTTAGAAGAAAAACTTCAACGATAAAGAAAGTACCAAGCAGGCGCTAAGGTAGAAAAGGAATGAGGAAAATAAATTAGACTCAAGATTTCTACAAATTAAATGACAGCAGAGAATGGAGCAAAACTCTAAACAACTGTGGTTACTGAACAGGTCATGAATTTATTAGTCACAATAACAATGCAGCTAACAACAGAACAGCGAAGAGGACGGTGGGAGGAACTGTCGGGTGCTGATGCCCTTGTCATTGCAGCAGAAGCCAAGGACAACACAGGACCCATCTCAAGTGCAGTTTAGAGGATATGATGACTCCGACCTCCTTCACTTTCACCTCAATTTCTCTTTCTTCTACTCAAGTAAATTTCAAAGTATTTAGATTAATAACAGCATTTGGAGCACAATGCCATTTCCCCATGCTTATCTTTAGTTCTATGTCTGGAATAATAGTTACCAGCTATTAACTTAATGAGGATATTTCTGGGCAGAATTTGTTTGTTTGGGATCTATTTTATGTACTTTTTTTTCTGTATTCCTTCAACTTTTTATGAAAAAAAAATTATTACTCCAAAAATGAGTTAATGAACTAATCATCTATGAAAGACAGACAAAGGGATTTCCTTTTATTTTTTCTTGCCAAATTATCAAAACTAATTAAACCCATCCATCACTTGGTGATAGAATCAGTAAGTATTCACAGAAATGTACATGATTTGCTTTTTCAAGCATATACCTAATGATTACAAAATTATTAAAATAAAATAACATTCCTATAGACTGTCTCTCCCCAAAATTTACATTTTGAAAGCTAATCCCCAAAGCTGAAACTAATATAACACCATATGTTAACTATACAGAGAATTAAAATAAAATTAAAATTAAAATAAAGAAATCCTCGGGGCACTTGGGTGACTCAGTTGGTTAAGGGTTTGCTTTGGCTCAGGTCATGATCCCAGGACAGGGGGATCCAGCCTCGAGTCAGGCTCCCTGCTCAGTGGACAGTCTGCATCTCCTTCTCCTCCCAGTTCCTTCTCTCTCTTTCTCTCTCTCCCAAATAAATAAATGAAGTCTTTAAGGAAAGAAAAGAAAGAAAAAAGAAAAGAAAGCAAGCTAATCCTCAGTGTGACAGTATTACGTGGGGCCTCTGAGAGGCGATTAGGTATTGAAGATGGAGCCCTCATGAACAGGATTAGCATCCTTACAAAAACCCAGACTCCAAGGCTGCCTCAGTCTGGAGAGCATGTGACTCTTGATCTTGGAGTTGTAAGTTGAAGCCCCATGTAGGGTGTGGAGCCTACTTAAAACTAGAAAAAAAAAATAATCCTTAAAAAAGGAAAAAAAGAAGCCCACAGAGCTCACTCACCCCTTCAGTCCTATGAGGCCTGAGCAAGAAGCCTGCTGACTGTGATCCAGGAAGTAAGCCCTCACCAGAATCTGTCAGCCCCTTGATCTTGGACGCCCCCCACCCCTCCAGAACTGGGAGAAATAAATTTCTATTGTTCATAAGCCATCCAGTATATTGTATTCTATTACAGCAGCCTAAACAGATTAAGACAAATGCTCATTCAAGTTCACAGACGCCACAAGATTGCAGATTACTATCAATCAGGAATAAATTCAACCATAACTTATATGGCAAAGACTCCTCAGAATTCTCTCTAGATTTCATAAATAATATTAACAGAACTACTGTCCGCTTTTCACATTTTAAAATGGAAGTATCTGAATCATCTACCAAAAAAGATTTAAAGGCACAAAGTGCTTGCTAATGGGAATTTTCTTGATAATCACTCATGATGCTCAGTGGCACAGCTAAATAGCAGTCCTACTGGCCAGGAGGGAAATCAAACCTATTTGGATCCATATTCCCTTTATACTAAGACCAGGGGCATCTAGCTTCTATGTCTTATCACTTTCACAACCCAGATGAAAACAAGGAAGAAATCCCTCCAAGTCAAATAGGATATATTAGAAATATGGATAAAAGGAAAGAAGCGTTTTTTTTTTAATTTTATTTTTTATAAATATATAATATATTTTTATCCCCAGGGGTACAGGGAAAGAAGCGTTTTAAAAGAAAACCAAAAAGGAGGCGCCTGGGTGGCTCAGTCGGGTAAGCCTCCAACTCTTGATTTCGGCTCAGGTCATGATCTCAGGGTCATATAAGATCAAGTCCCATGTCAGGCTCCACGCGGAGTCCACTGGAGATTCTCTCTCTCTTCCTCTGCCCGCCTCCCCCCACCTCCATAGATCGCTCGCACTCTCCCTAAATCAATAAATAAAATCTTCTTAAAAATTTTTAAAATAAAATAAAACTAAGAAAAATCTCAATTTTTTAAGAAGCTAAAATGAGGGGGTGCCTGGGTGGCTCAGTCGTTAATCGTCTGCCTTTGGCTCAGGTCATGATCCCAGGGTCCTGAGATCGAGCCCCACATCGGGCTTCCTGCTCAGTGGGAAGCCTGCTTCTCCCTCTCCCACTCGCCCCGCATGTGTTCCCTCTCTTGCTGTGTCTCTCTCTGTCAAATAAATAAATAAAATCTTTAAAAAAAAAAAAAGAAGCTAAAATGAGGAAGATTGCTATCAAATTTGTATGTCATTTAAGCAGAAATTTTTTCCTCAATATTTAAAATAGACAAACTACCCAAATGTTTCCAAATTTCCAAAAAGAGACACTTATAACTTCAGGATTATTCTTTAGAATTTGAACCAATATCCTATTAATCTACTTGTTTTTTAAATTTCCATGACAAATCATTTTTTTTATTACCAGACTATTTCAGTATGTACTGACTGTAATGCGTTAGTGTTGTTTTGCTTTGTTTTCATTAAAGGAAGTAAAGACCATTCTTTTTTTTTTTTTTAAGATTTTATTTATTTATTTGTCAGAGAGAGAGAGAGGGAGAGAGAGCAAGCACAGGCAGACAGAATGGCAGGCAGAGGGAGAAGCAGGCTCCCTGCTGAGCAAGAAGCCCAATGTGGGACTCGATCCCAGAACACTGGGATCATGACCTGAGCCGAAGGCAGCTGCTTAACCAACTGAGCCACCCAGGCATCCCAAAGACCATTCTTAATACATAAGAAGTAGACAACCAGAGGACGCAGAGTGCAGAGGGTCAGGGTGGGTTGGAGGGGGGCGGTGCATTCCAGGGAATGGAAAACAATAAAAAGGCAAAAAAGCGACTCATTACCTGCTGAGCTGTAGCATCCTGTTGGACATAAGCTACCTGCCCTGGGTCTGTAAACAGAGTCTAGACAAAAGAAACAACAACAGGAAAAAACCTATCAATAAATCTTTAGACAGTTTGCCTACACAGGAAAAATTATCCCACTGCTAAGCACCAATTCTTGGCAGACTTAATTTCCATATAGCTAGAAATAATCCCTCATTAATAAAGAAGATAAATACAGTAATCTTACTTTTAGCTAAAACCTTTCATTCAGATGGTTCCAAAGAGATTATATAAGTTAACCATCTCAACTGGCTAACATACTTGACAATTTTACCCTTAAGCAAAATCTCTCGAGGTTGAATGTCACAGCTAATTAAAAAAGGTATGTCACAAAAATGTAAGACATGGCATGAACAAGGGCGCATACATTCACACATCACACTGTGTACCACAGGAGTAGACTTGGGATTAAGTGAAAATGGATGGAGACATACAGACACACAGAAGACTAACATATACACAAGGATAGCTTTCAAATATATATAAATGCGTGCTCATTACCAAAAAAAGTAGAAGGGAAATAAACTGAATTTAATGTTCCATAGATTCATTCCTGCATAAAGTCAGTAAAATCATAATTTTTAAAAGGTCTTATTGAAACACATAATTTGGGTCATGATACAGCAGAATTAACTAGAGAAGGAAAATCTTCGAAATCATTTTAGTCAAGATACCAGAGAAAATCACCAATCCAAAAAAATATTCTGCCTAAGCCTTTAGCAAACCCAGAGGAATAAGAACTATGGTTCAGTTCTGATTCCAGAGGTACATCTAGGAATTTCAGCCAGTTGTATGATTTCTTAGACTTGCTATTTAAAAATTATTAAAAGTCAAAAGAGCATGTGACTCTTGATCTTGGGGTTGCGAGTTTGAGCCCCACATCGGGCACAAATTACTAAAATAAAATAAATTTTAAAATTATCAAAAATCAGACATTCAGTAACACAATAATAAGTTGCCTACAGGACATTCTTTACATAAACTATCCGAACTTGTTTTAATATAGTCAGGGGATTAAAACTAAGTAGAGACATCCTAAAAGTACCATCTGACTACTTGGTGACTTTCATTTATATAGATTTAGAAGTTTTCAGTTAAGTGGGCCTCATTTCTTCTTGGGAGTGATTTGAGCCCCTTGATTAAATACTGCATGAGGGCAAATTTTTATTACCAAGTTTCCACTACAAAAGTATGGAACTTGTTTGCTTTTTTTTTTTTTTTAAGTATATTTAAAAGTGCTCTCTACATTCTAAAGTGCTAACGTGCAAACTAACACTTACATATTTATTTGTGTCATGCATTTGGAAACTAACATGCCAAGTCACTGAGAAAAAAATAAAAGAAAGCAGTTCTAACTGCACAGCTTTTACCTTTGCTTCTATTATAGTCCTACAAATCAGTCAATTATTAATAAGGAACAGTTAATAAGCCAATAGGACTTTTTGCTTACACCTTTCACTGAAATAATCTGTATGTTTTTATTGATCCATCTGTGATTAAGCTATACAGAACTAAATGTCATTTTTGACTTGGTTCTTGATACTTCAGAAAAGTAACAAGTTGGTAAGCTAGTCCACGGTTGTTGGGACAAGAACTCAGAGGAGGCTAGCGCTCTAACCTCCTACTATATTTAATTTAAATAAAGCATATCTTCCTCTGCCAAGTTAGTTATAAGCTCCTGAAAAGCACAGATTGTATCTGAATCACATCTTGCATCACCAGCACCTAGCCCAGGGAGGACAGAAAATAAACATAAGTCAGTGGGGAGTTAACCAATTAACAAACAAACTAGAAACAGTAACCCTTCACATGCCTGTGCGGCTTCCACAGGATGGATGTACACCAGTGTGTGCTCAGGCCCGTCCACTGAAGTGTAGGAGGCACCATCTGCCGTGTACACCACCTGCTGGGGCGGACGAACCTGGTCATCGGTGTAGACAATCTGAGCCACGGTTCCAGCGTCAGGAACAAAGTGCACCTGGGGCAGAAAGCAGCAAGTATATAGAGAGTGTCCTTGTAGAACAAAACCAATCTCACAAAGATACCCGGCTGACCAAGCACAGTCCACAATTGTATCTCGAAAATATTCCCAATGAAAGGAGAATGAGAACTGATACACCCTAGTCATCTACACTGTTAGCGACTTGGGGACAGGATCCAAGGAAGGAATCCTTGTCACTGATTTGCTAGTTAATATCAGGCAACTGATATAAATTCTTCTTGGCCCCAAATGTCCAATGCAAACATCTCTTTTGGGGAATCATGAGGGGGCAGTCTCCTGATTCTGGAAATGTGACTGAAGATTCCTGGTTGACCACATTACCAAAATACGAAATACAAATTATTCTGCAATGTAAAACAACATCAACTCAAAAGCCAACTGCCCTCAACACAAGATTAATATTCTGCTTTATAATTAATAGTGTCTTTCTTCAGACATATTAAAACAAGGTCACTTTCTTTCCTATGTGTTTTTTTCACACTCCAAGGCTATACTGGAGGCATGGCAGTAAGCGTATGCTGAGTCAATGAATGTTACAGAACTCTTCCTTGCCAGCAAGATAAAGACACAGAAAATTCTAGTCTAGTACTTTTAAAGGGTTTTGGAAAACTATTTCAGTTGTCACCAGGGTAAATAATTTTCTACCTACCAAGAACGAAAGCAGAAACTGAATTCTATAAAATGCTTTCTGGATAGTCAGCTTAGGAGGTTTGACTTCTTGAAGGCTAGAGCTTGACACATAGCCTGATACCTGATATTGAAGGTATGGAAGCAGATGGCCAAAGCACACATTTGGGAGAGAAATAATTTATGTGCTGATATCAACATTAGTTGGAATCTTTACTCTTACGCTATCCTGGCTTTGGACCTAACTTTTTTTATTTCAGTTTTTTCCAACGGGGAGCAGTAGGTTCCAAAGATGATATGAGGAAATTTAATCCCCAGAAAGAACCCTGGAGACCAAATACAATCAAACAGAAATAAAACAAACTTCCACTTTTAAACTAAGTATATTGTCCAACTTCTACACAAATTTGATTTGTCCATGAAGATACAGTTTGTATATTGCAAGAATTGGACTTCTAACAATTAGCACAGCTTGAAGTGCTGCAAGATAACTTTTTGGCTTTAGATTTGTGCATTAACATTGAAACTTGGTCTCCATCGCACAGTATCTTGCTAAATCAGAGTTCCTGGCTAGGAAAAGAAACAACTGGGAAGAGGGAGAGCAGTGAGGGCTGTTGAGTTCTGCTGTTTACTATCCGATTACCTACAAAATGGTGACTCTGTTTTTTGAATGGACTACATTTTTGCTCATAAAATACACCAAAATACGTAGCTACATGAAAGTTGTCTTCAACATGGTTTCTAGAAGAATCAGAACAGCATTCTCAGTATCCTGCTGGAAGCATCATTTGAACATTTTTTTTTAAGTATTCATACTCAGACTTTAAGTCATCCCAGAAAACTAATTTTATTTATTGCAATATTTGCCATATTACTTAAATAAATGTGTATATTTAAGTGCTTAGTGTTAACATCCTGATTTTGATAATAATACTAAGGTTATGTAAGTTAATGAAAAACTAACTTAAAATTGCATATTTATTACAATGCTTAAAAATTAAGTTTTATACTTTGGCCACACAGGATTCCATATGACTGTGGACTTCTCCCAGAATTCAAATCCACATCAAAAAAGCAGACATTTGCCTTTGCTAAGAATAGTCAAAATAACGCGCTGCTGGTTATGATCACAGTCCAAAAGGCCGTGTTCATCCATCACAGCAGCGTTTGGATACATGACTGGCCTTCCATGTGGCTGACTCGATGGGACAGCTTGCCATTAGACCTTTACATTCTGAATTTGAAAGAAAAGAAAAGCCACGCGGTAGACATACTTTGTACTTCATTACACACGAAGAATCAAAACCTTATACTTGGTAACATGAAAGGAACACTCCAGTTGGAGGCTTTCAGCGCTAAGAATATAAAATAAAACCGGGCAGTGAAACAAACATGACAGTAAGTTGCAGAAGTGGCAGAGAAGCCTGTGGGTGGTCCCCGAGCCCTTGTAAATCATAGTGACCCATCCTGGTGGAGCACTCCCCGAAGTGCCGACACCCTCCGTATTCCGCCTGTGCTGGTCCTGCACGTCCCCTCCCTCCCAGCTACTCTCACTACAGGGAAGCCGGTATTTCTTTAGCTGTCAGCAAACCGACCCAACTGAGATACGGCTACCAGCCCCACGCTGGAAAGACCGCTCTTCACCTGTGCGGCATTCTCTTCGTGCTCTGCAGATGTGGGCCACACGTGTGAGCTCTCCTCTTTGGAATCCATCCTTCCCCCTGCTGGACAGCTCCACGTCCGTCCGGGGCACCTAGAGCAGCACCGGGCAGAGGACAGTCATCTGTCGACCGCGGGCGGGTTCATGAAGGACAGAAAGACCTCTCTGCAACGTGCCTGAAGAAAAAGAGAAAGTGAACCAAGTTCTTTAACAGATGAATACATTTTAATAAATGACAGTTTCAACCACAAAGGGAAAAAAATAACACATCTGGACAAAAAGGTGAAAATGGAGAAATTATTTGTAATGATAATACAATGTATTGCATGCTTACTATGTTCTAGACACTCATCAGGTAGGTGTAACCCTCACTAAAAATACTAAAGGTCTGGGGATCCCGGCTGGGTCAGTCCATAGAGCACGTGACTATTGATCTCAGGGTCATGAGTTCAAGCCTCATGCTGGAAGTAAAGTTTACTTAAAAAGTAAATGAATGGGGGCGCCTGGGTGGCTCAGTGGGTTAAGCCTCTGCCTTCAGCTCGGGTCATGGTCTCAGGGTCCTGGGATCGAGCCCCACATCGGGCTCTCTGCTCAGCAGGGAGCCTGCTTCCCTTCCTCTCTCTCTCTGCCTGCCTCTCTGCCTGCTTGTGATCTCTGTCTGTCAAATAAATAAATAAAATCTTTAAAAAAAAAGTAAATGAATGAATAAATACTGAAGGTCAACAACATAGACTAAAATAGAAAAAAAAATGCTACAGGTATATCTCTGAGTTCTGCTGATGAGAAGAACAAGGTTTCTAGACAGTAAACGCAGGTAAGTGATGGGTTCATACCCAAGCCTGACTGTGGCACAGCCCAGCTCAGCTGTCCCCTGCACACTTGCTTAGACACTGACTTCCTACACCACCTACGTGAAATGAACAGCAGAATAATAAAAGTCACAAAAACAGGAAAACGGCAGGCAGAAAAGACTGAATTTTTTGGGCCATAATCTGGTGAATATAAATGTAGATTCTGTTTCCCATTTGGTTAATGCAGGATCAATTAATGAACAAATCACAAACTTTAATAAACATCAACCTACACTAAATCTACATCTTGAAATCTTTTCCAAAATAGGTGGGATTTTTCCATTTATTTTTTTTAATTTTTCCAAAATAGTATTTTAAGGAAATCAATCTTCCCTTCTGATGATGATAAATCATGGACATGTTAAGACTCATGTGAGATTTTGCTGTTTAATGGAGCAGCCACGCCTGATACACCTCCTCCCGCCATCCCATTAAAGCTGCGACATAAAAGGGAAAGGTAAAACCGCTCAGAACACCACTACACCAAAGGTAAGGAAGACCACTGGCCCAGATCCAGTCAGAATTTTTCCCATTATTAATGGAAATAAGCCAAGAAGCATATTCCTTGACTGCACATACTCCAATGTCTGAACCAGAATAAGACTCAAAGAAGAAAGAAGAGGGGCGCCTGGGTGGCTCAGTGGGTTAAGCCTCTGCCTTCAGCTCAGGTCATGATCCCAGGGTCCTGGGATGGAGCCCCGCATCAGGCTCTCTGCTCAGCAGGGAGGCTGCTTCCCCCTCTCTCTCTGCCTACCTCTCTGCCTGCTTGTGATCTCTCTCTCTCTCTCTCTGTCAAATAAATAAATAAAATCTTTTAAAAAAGAAGAAGAAGAAGAAGAAAGAAAGAAAGGACTGGAGGGGCTCCTGAGTAGGGTAGGCAGTTAAGTAACCGACTCTTGGTTCTGGCTCAGGTCGTGATCTCAGGGCTATGGGATGGAGTCCTGCATTGGGCTCAGTGCTGTGGAGTCTGCTGCGGATTCTCTCTCCCTGCCCCCTCTGCCCCTCCTCTTGCTCTAAAATAAATAAAATCTTTCATAAAATAAGAAAGAAAGGAAAGACTGTAATAAAAGAAAAGACTACAATATCCAATGTCTGGCCCTTACTCTGGAAAACAGGAACTGCCACATCATGCTGCCTGGGAGACTCTCCTGAGCAGCTGAGGAGCCTGTCCCTGCTTCACCTCAGCATTGTCATCCCAAAATCACCCCCGCATACACTCACCCTGCATACATACACCTGACTCTTCTCCTCTCTGTCAGAGGATGCTGGAAACAACGCCCACGTCTACCAACAGGTGAATGCATAAACAAAGAGTTATGGGGGATCTTTCTGGATAAGTGGTAGTGTTTTATACCTTGTATCCAGACTGGGGTTGTATTTACATGGGGAATACATGTATCAAAAGTCATCAAGCTATTCAATTAAAATCTGTGTAAATTAGGGGCACCTGGGGGCTCAGTGTGTTGAGCAGCAGGCTCTTGATTTCGGCTTGAGTTGTGATCTCAAAGTCCTGGGATGCAGCCCCCTGTCAGGAACCCGTGCTCAGTGCAGAGTGCCTGAGTGCTTGAGATTCTCTCTCCCTCTCCCTCTGTCCCTCTCCTCACTTGCATGTCACATGCATGTGTGCTCTCTAAAATAAATAAAGCTTTTTGGGGTGCCTGGGTGGCTCAGTCCTTGGACGTCTGCCTTCGGCTTGGGTCATGATCCCAAAGTCCTGGGATCGGGCCCCGCATCCAGCTCTCTGCTCAGCGGGAAGCCTGCTTCTCCCTCTCCCACTCCCTCACCTGCATTCCCTCTCTCACTGTGTCTCTCTCTGCCAAATAATAATAAATAAAATCTTTTAAAAAATAAAATAAAATAAAGCTTTTTAAAATTAATTATGTGTCAATTACATCCTAATGAAGTTAGTTATTTTTAAAAAAGGATACCTTCCTGACATAAGAGTATTACTCAAGCACGTATAAAAAGATATTCAGGGCAAGCTGCATAGTATGTGAATTATACGTGAACAAAGCTATTATATTTTTTTTAGAGGAACAAATATATTAAGAAATCTAGGAATAAATGTCATTAAAAATATTAAGATACTCATGAAGAAAACTACTAAATTGTACAACAGGACATAAAAGGTTCAATATTATGAAATCACAAGATGTTCCATATAGGAAGTGGTTTTGTTTTTTTTTTTAATTTTGAAATAGTTTGAGAGAATAGCTACAAAATGGTAGAAATAATACCTGTATTTCTTCAGATTTACCAAATGTTAGCATTCTACGTGTTTATTATTGTCTTCTCCCTCTTTCTCCCTCTTGCTATTTGAGAGTAAGTTGCAAACACGTGCCCCTTTATTACTAAATTCCTAAGTACCTATTTCCTAAAAACAGTACTTTTTCTCAAATTACTAGGAACAAAACCAGAAAGTTACAATGAAATGGTACTATTACCTAATTTACAGACCTTATTCATGTTTTGCCAACTATCTAATTAATATCCTTCATAGAGAAAGAAACAACTTTTTTTTTTAAGGTTTTATTTATTTATTTGACATAGAGAGACACAGCGAGAGAGGGAACACAAGCAGGGGGAGTGGCAGAGGGAGAAGCAGGATTCCCCCAATCAAGGAGCCCAATACAGGGCTTGATCCCATGACCTGAGCCGAAGGCAGACGCTTAACAGCTGAGCCACCCAGGCACCCCTCCACTTTTTTTTCTGGCCCTGGATCCATTCTGGCATTTCATGCAGTGCATCCAGTTGTCGTATCCCTCCATCCCCTCTGCTCTGGAACAGTCTCCTAGTCTTAGTCATCCATGACCTTGACATTTTTAAAATACACAGGCCATTTATTTTTCAGACTGTTCCTCAATTTGAATTTGTCCAATATTTCTTCATGGTTAGATTCAGGATGTGTTTTTTTAGCAGGAATACCACAAAAGAGATGTTGTATCTTTCCTATATAGGAATTTGAGATTGTTTTTTTCAACTTGGTTCATTGATTGCATAAATCCTCAAGTGCATAAATACGGCATACTATGCCAGGCACTGGGATGGGACAAGCACCAAGGCAGGCTTATCCCACACGCTTATGAAACATACACAGCTCTGAGTGTCATTCTGTATTTGTTTTCATTTCTAGGAAGGTGCTTATTATTTCAAATTCAAATTCAAAAGGCATAAAAAGATATGGACAATCTCCGTACCTGGAATCCCTTATCCACCCTTCAGAAGCTACCTATATTATCAATTTCTTGTCTACACTTCCAGAGATATGCTACACATATACATGCAAAAATACAGGGCCATGTGGCTGGCTCAATTGGTAGAGCACATGATTCTTGATCCCTGGGTCATGAGTTCAAACCCCAGCCTGGGTGCAGAACTTGCATGCATATATACATACATAATACATACATACATACATACATAAATACTCTGTCTCTCCCACCACAAATGGCAGCATACTATTGATTCTATACAAATAAACATCTCGGGGCACCTGGGTGGCTCAGTGGGTTAAGCCTCTGCCTTCAGCTCGGGTCCTGATCTCATGGTCCTGGGATTAAGCCCCGCATCGGGCTCCTTGCTCAGTGGGGAGCCTGCTTCTCTCTCTACCTCTGCCTGCCTCTCTGCCTGCTTGTGCTCTCTCTCTCTCTGTGTCAAATAAATAAATAAATAAATAAATAAAATCTTTAAAAAAAAAAAAAAACAAAGTAACATCTCTGCTGAGCCATGTTTATTCTACAAAACACCATACCTTCTACATTGATCCCTATCCATATTTCATTTCCTCCCACTGCATCATTTCACTGTGTATCCATACACACTAATTTATTTAATCGCCTGTGGATAAACATTTAGGTTATTTCTAGTCTTTTCCTATTACAAGCAACACTGTGATGAATAACTTGGAGGCCGTTTTACATTTGTTAGTATCTTGAATTCTTTTGAAGTCTCTAAGGGAAGATGTTGAATCACTTATAGCCACCGTCTAACTGGTAGGTCATTATTATTTCTCAAACTCCAACAGTGGCACCCACCTCCCTGTGCCTAGTGCATGAGGGCATAGGAGACACACAGGGAGAAATGCTCTGACCTGTGAAAACACAGCAGTCAGTCCAAAGCACAGTGGTTAAGAGCCTGGGCTCTGGGGGTGCCTGGGCAGCTCAGTCTTTGTTAAGTGTCTGTCTTTGGCTCAGGTCATGATCTCCAGGTCCTGGGATGAAGCCCTGCCTTGGGCTCCC